GCGGGGCGAGGGCGGGCACCTCGGGCCACCTCGCTCGGGCCACCGCGCTCGGGTCCCGGGCTGCCCTTGCCCACGGCTCGGGGCTCTTTCCCGACAAGCCTCCAACCGCGAGATGCTCCCGAGCGCCGCCGCCTCTTCTCCCTACGGCTTTTCTCCTGTGCCTTCTCCATCCCGCCTCTCTCGTCCCCAGTCCTGTCTCTGCAGCGTGCCCGGTCTCTGTCCCCGTCTCCATAACTCCCTCCGTCCCTCTGCCCCCCTTTCTCTCCCTCCCGCCATGCCGTCCTCTCCCTTGTCTCCTGTCGACCCTGTCCCCCTTTCTCCCTCCCATCTTTCCCACCCTCGCGCATCCCCTCGAATCCTCTCCTCTCTCTCCCATTTCTCCCCCTCTCCCTCTTGTGTCCTCTTGCCATCTCCTGTCCCTCTAATCCCCACGAAGGTGGCAACTTTTCTTGTACCTCAGGATCTAAGTACGGGACCCAGCTCATCCCCCTCCACCCCAACACACTCGCACAAAGGCTTCTCCCCAGACACCGCAGGTGGCTCTGCACAGGGCCAGCCTCCTGCTGTAATCCGCTGCCCTGCTCCTTCCTTCTGAGCAGCAGCTCGTGTAAAGGTGACAATTTTGCTCTTGAGAAATCTCTCTAGAGAGGCAGAGGTGTGGTTTGAGCGCTTCCTCAAGTGACAAGACCAGACTCCATCCAGGAAATGCCGGGCAGGGCATCCCCTTCAAGCATCCCCTTCCAGGACAGTCACCTCTGGGGTAGCTCATCCAGGTCTTGGTCTCCTTCAGACCACGTTTCTTCCTTTTGTTTCCTCACCCCTTCATTCCCCCCACCCCCCACCCAGGGGAATCAGGGCTAAAGATTTAACTAAATATTGAAATAAGGGCCCAGCAGGTGGCCAGGTCTTCTCACCTATTGCACCAGGTGGCAGCTTTACTGCAAGGAACCCAGGGTACTTGGGAGCAAGGGATGAATGAATCTGATGGGCCCGGTCCAACCTGGCTGCAGGCCGGGGCATGATGGTTTTATCTTCCCGTCTATATGCTCTTGATCATGTCCAGCTTCTCTGGTATTTTCCTGAAATAATATTGAGCATTATTTCATGAAATTATACATTTTATATGGTCACCTTTTCGATCATAAAGAGTCATTGTTTTCTTTAAAATTCCCTGATGACCGGGGTTTGATCTCTCTGTAACTAGCATATCAGAACCCCTCAGTTCTTGCCCTGTCGCCTGTCTCTGTCGTTTTCACTGCAGGATCTTTCACACTAATCAAATAATGCTTGTGCTGCCAATTTTACTAGAGGTGGAACCCCTGGGATTCCAAACGAATAGCATCCGAACTCCAGCAGAGAAGGGCACTTGATTCTTGAACCATCCTGCTAGTTCATCTTTTCTAGGGTCATTAGGCTCCGCATATTCCTTGAGTTAGGAATGGTACCGATGTGACAGCTCTAGAAAGGTGTCTCGAGCGAGGTTTAACGTTTTAACATCAGAGGCTCATTCTTCATCCTACAGTTAAATGTTGGCTCCAATGTAAGGTTCACGTGATTGAATACAAGCCAGAGGAGGAGAGGTGGGGTGTGGGGTCTTACTTTATTTTTCAAACAGGATTTATGCAAATGATGTGGAAGAATTTTGCACAGAAAAACCTTTATTACTTGTTTCTTAAATTATTGCTCATCAGAACTTTTTGGCATAGTCTGTTCATTTGATAGTCTTTCATTCTGCACAGTGAAGATGACGTTGGGGAGTCAGGAAAGAGGAAGGTCATTTTTCCTTACAGAATCACAGAATCATAACATTTTTGACTTGGATGAGATCTCAGAGGTCACCTGGACCACAGCCTTCATTTTGAAAGATGCAGAAAAATAGAGATTTTAAATGCAAAATGAAGAAGCTTTTTTGTAAAAAGAGAAAATTAGCAAATTACATGTTTTCCATTTTTACGTTAATGCTCTGGATAATAGTTCTATTGGTGCCCATATGCTTCTATTAAAATAGATAGGTCCTTGTGTGTATATTTCTTTTCATTGTAATCAAATCTGAGAGTCTTCTATACAGTTTGCAAGTTACTGACTTCCTTATTGAAAACAATTATCAACACTTTTATTTATTAATTTGATCAAATCTTATTTGAACTCTGAGCCCTCTGCCTATCATATTGTGTTATATTATCGAGTCAATGTCTGGAATGAGGGTAAAAACTCAGCACTTTTTAAAATACCAGTTCGATTTCTGTGCATTTTCCATGCTGGTTTCAACATACAGCTCTCCAAAAGAAAGTAATGTACAGCACACATAAAATATTCAAAAGGCAGTGAAAGAATTGAAGAAATGAATAGTCATTAATGTTTTAGGGTTCTGTGGTAGTATTTCAGGTAACCTGAGCATTATTGTGCCTTTGCGTACTTTTAGGAATTCACTTCTCACAGGTTGCTCGGAGCTCATACTGTAGTTACCAAATTATTTCTATAGTTAAAGGTAATATGCCTTGGGGAAGCAATCAAAATATCTGATTAAGCAATCGAAGAGAACCGGGACTGCTACCAAACCAATCATTAGTTTTAAAAAAAGAGTCATTATATTCTAGTTATGTTCCCTCTTTTTGTTGGGATTTCTTTTTTAGGATTCATTTTCTTAAGCTACAAAGTTGTAAAAAGGCTTATTTGCCTCTTTGATAGAAGAAAACACTCACTGCTCAGCTTAACTTTCTGAACTAAAGACACCTTTAAAGGTTTCTATACCGTTAGAGAAATCATAAAACAATTTTAAGGGCTTCATGTGTTATATTGTAAAAATATCTGCTTAACAGTTTTGTGTACAAAATAAAAGGTTTAGGTTTATCACATGATATGATAAATTCAGGCATTTCATGAGGCTTTTACCTGATTGAATATCTGGCCCATGTTATCAAAATCTCCTGCATGTTGGATTATGAATTGCAGTTGTTTAAAATTAAGATAACATAAATGATATATTCTATGTAGAAATATTGACATATAAATCTTGCCCATTTATCTATTACTAAACCCCCTTTTTGACTAAATAGAGACATTTTACGTAATCCTTTTAGTTCTATGCAGTTGGATGAAAAATTCCTGTACTTTCAAAATAAATTGGTGAAAATGACCAAAGTATACTTTTGGATAATTATCTGTATCCTTTATTAGTTACTGAGACCAAAAAATACAATCTATAGCTGTAAGATTTTGGCCTTGAAACAGCAAATTGTAATGCCAGCATCACACGCACATAGTAGATAGTTTAACCTACAAAAACTACCTTTTCCAAGATTATAGAGAACAGGCTCNGTAAGGTTCACGTGATTGAATACAAGCCAGAGGAGGAGAGGTGGGGTGTGGGGTCTTACTTTATTTTTCAAACAGGATTTATGCAAATGATGTGGAAGAATTTTGCACAGAAAAACCTTTATTACTTGTTTCTTAAATTATTGCTCATCAGAACTTTTTGGCATAGTCTGTTCATTTGATAGTCTTTCATTCTGCACAGTGAAGATGACGTTGGGGAGTCAGGAAAGAGGAAGGTCATTTTTCCTTACAGAATCACAGAATCATAACATTTTTGACTTGGATGAGATCTCAGAGGTCACCTGGACCACAGCCTTCATTTTGAAAGATGCAGAAAAATAGAGATTTTAAATGCAAAATGAGGAAGCTTTTTTGTAAAAAGAGAAAATTAGCAAATTACATGTTTTCCATTTTTACGTTAATGCTCTGGATAATAGTTCTATTGGTGCCCATATGCTTCTATTAAAATAGATAGGTCCTTGTGTGTATATTTCTTTTCATTGTAATCAAATCTGAGAGTCTTCTATACAGTTTGCAAGTTACTGACTTCATTATTGAAAACAATTATCAACACTTTTATTTATTAATTTGATCAAATCTTATTTGAACTCTGAGCCCTCTGCCTATCATATTGTGTTATATTATCGAGTCAATGTCTGGAATGAGGGTAAAAACTCAGATTATTGAAAACAATTATCAACACTTTTATTTATTAATTTGATCAAATCTTATTTGAACTCTCTGCCTATCATATTGTGTTATATTATCGAGTCAATGTCTGGAATGAGGGTAAAAACTCAGCACTTTT